ATTAAATACTTGTCCTGCTTAAATATTAAGTCTTGATGAAAGCAAATAAGTAATCATATGAAACAATTTATAACGATATCATTGTCAAAGACAAATATGTATTTTCCACTTCAAAACAAACATGATATGCGTCACAACGAACAAAAGAGATATACTAACGTAACATTGATACAGCTTTTTGAATGTCATGAGCGTATGTACGAGCGTATGAACGAGCAAACATGTATATACGCACATTATTATGATGTCATGGGATCGAACATATAATACCTACGATGCCAAGGACTTAGATACATTAAAAAAAATATATAAAGAAAAAAACCTAAATCATGACGTCATACATATGTGGACATATTTTTGATATAAGTTGCCATGGTTAGTTTCTTGTTAATATGTCATTAAATCGTTCCCATACATACAAAGCACTGATGTCAGGAGATCGTACATACTCAAGCATGATGTCATGACATTGTTCACATACATACATAACACTGATGTCAGTAGATCGTATATACTCAATCATGATGTTATGACATTGTTCACATACATACCTAACACTGATGTCAGGAGATCGTACATACTCAAGCATGATGTCATGACATTGTTCACATACATACATAACACAGATGTCAGGAGATCGTATATACTCAATCATGATGTCAAGCCATTGTTCACATACATACATAGCACTGATGTCAGGAGATCGTATATACTGAATCATGATGTTATGACATTGTTCACATACATACCTAACACTGATGTCAGGAGATCGTACATACTCAATCATGATGTCATGACATTGTTCACATACATACATAGCACTGATGTCAGTAGATCGTATATACTCAATCATGATGTCATGACATTGTTCACATACATACATAGCACTGATGTCAGGAGATCGTATATACTCAATCCCGATGTCATGACATTGTTCACAAACATACATAGCACTGATGTCAGGAGATTGTATATACTCAATCATGATGTTATGACATTGTTCACATGCATACATAACACTGATGCCAGGAGATCGTACATACTCAATTATGATATCGTGACATTGTTCAGAAACATACATAACACCAATGACAGGAGATCGTACATACTCAATCCCGATGTCATGACATTGTTCACAAACATACATAGCACTGATGTCAGGAGATCGTATATACTCAATCATGATGTTATGACATTGTTCACATACAAACAAAACACTGAGGTCAGGAGATCGTACATACTCAATCACTATGTCATGACATTGTTCACATACATACATAGCACTGATGTCAGGAGATCGTACATACTCAATCACTATGTCATGACATTGTTCACATACATACATAGCACTGATGTCAGGAGATCGTATATACTCAATCACTATGTCATGACATTGTTCACATACATACATAGCACTGATGTCAGGAGATCGTACATACTCAATCACTATGTCATGACATTGTTCACATACATACATAGCACTGATGTCAGGAGATCGTATATACTCAATCACTATGTCATGACATTGTTCACATACATACATAGCACTGATGTCAGGAGATCGTATATACTCAATCATGATGTCATGACATTGTTCACATACATACATAACACTGATGTCAGGAGATCGTGAATACATAATTATCATGTCATGAATTGCATAGGAACGACATTACTTTGATGTCATGAGTAGCATAGGAAGGACAAAATTATGATGTCATGAATTGCAAAGGAAAGATATAATCATGACGTTAGTAGATCGGACAAACAAAACTAGAGGTATGCCACTACATGTCAATGATGGCATTTTATTCCTTTTACATTTGACAATTAAATCAATATCAATAAAATACATGCTGTAACGTGGTGAAATCCATTTTGGAAACAAATTCTTTAAAAAAAAACAAAAAAAACAACACCCATATACAATTGATATTTGTTAATCACATATGCTTTACGTTTAATGTATCAAAATAGTCTACCTTGGACCAATACTTTAATTGAATTCTGAAGTACCGTCCAATGTAAGCAATATTACAGGACAATGTTCGATTACAGGACAATGCTAGATTACAGGACAATGTCCGATTGCAATAAATATAACAGGACAATGTTCGATTGCAATAACTATTACAAGACAATGTCCGATTGCAATAAGCATTAGAGAGCAATGCTTTTTTAATAGCAAGAAAAGGAATTTACCGTGTTACTAGGACTTCAAGATAATACCCCGTTATACCTATCATTACAGGGTAATACTTCGTGTTTCTATAGCATAACAGGGCAATATTTTGTGTTATAAGCACTATATAGTAATACTCCATGTTACTGGCACAACAGTGCAATTTAGTGCTCCGTTGTAATTAGTATTACAGGGTCACACTGCTTTGTAGCTGCCATTGCTGTGTGATGACAACAATTCGGGAATCCAGAAAAGAATATACCTTTTACCAACAGCATGTATCGTAAGAGGCGACACATGTGGGAATCCCTTCAGTATTGAGGATTTGCATTTGTGTCCTCTACCTGGGGACACAAAAGCATCCAAAATAAATCTGCTGCACCCATTGCAATATTTGAGATCTTGATATTTCTTTCTACTTCTGACTACAATTTATTCCCTTGCTTGGCAATGCCTCACTCTTGGCTTTAATGTTGAGCGTTCGCCCAGGCGAGGAAGGCAAGGGGTTCTGTTTCCAGGCCGGGACATACTAAAGTCATAAAAATATTATAGTTGTTATTTCCCTGCTTTACGTTCAGCATTTAGGAGAATGGCAAGAATAAGTTCACCTGTTGACAGTATAATGTGACCGGGCGGAATGCCGGCTTGGTGACTTCGGCATAGAAATTCAGTGAGATGGCACTATACAATCAGCATCAGATCCGCGCTATCACAAGGAGGCAAATACACCAACATACCTTATCCCCTGCACACATACACACATGCATGCATACACAACACACATGGAGGTACGTCCGTAAATGGCCTTAGCTGTTGATAGGACGTTAAGCCCTATATCTGGAAACCCTGTATTGTATGTTTGTCCATCTGCAATCGGCATATATCATGCATGTATCCCGATGTATTACATCAGTGCAAGGGGAACATGAATCAAGATAGCCAAGTCGTAAATTTGTATGTGTAATGTAGAGACAGAAAAGAGCATCAATAGTCGGTTTTCAATCACAGACACCCAAACTCTCACAACGACATCCAGAACATTTGTTTAATTTGGGGTCTGCGAAGTCATTTTTATTCGATTTACAACATTTGACTTTCAACAGGAACGAGGTCGGAAACCGACTACCCCAGGTATGACTCGCTCTAAGGTCTGAGTGGTCGCTAGTCTCAGTCCTACTGGGGAAGACAATAGCAATAGTTTTGTTTTCGATTCGGTTTACCCTATAAGCACAGAAAGAGGCTGTTTACATTTTGTATAATAAATTGCATTTTGTTCGTAGTAAAGCTGTCCGATTTTGACATATTTTATCAGTGTCAATATGTTACCACAATGCAAATGCGTGGTAACTCTATAATTGTTGTTGTTATAGGATACAGCTACATTGTAGATCGTACTCACAAAGTAAACAAACTCATAATATAATTGATTTTGTTAATGCTAATGTTCAATAATGTTTATTAGGGATTTTATGCCGAACACATGTCACTAGTTAAACCGGTTTGATTGATTTGATACATCATGTGACTTCATTATCGGCCTGTGGGAAATTGAGACAGTCTCAATTTTAATTTATTTTATATACTTAGCTGACAACAATTAGTTATACCATGGAGAGAATTAATGGGTTAGTTGTTTGATTTCATAAAGAAATGAATGTCGCTGTTCAAACTTACATATTAGCAAAAGGTAAATCATTTTCAACTTGCTATGGCTCATTAACTTTGGAATAAAATGTGTCTGAATTTTAAGTATTAACCCTGAGGGTCGTGACCTAAATACAGTTTAGTGCTTGGGTTAATGTCGCACCATGCTATCGAATTCGTGCAATGGTGAATTTGTAGATTCGAAATTATTATATAAGCAGTGTTACTAAATGTTGTCATTAACGACATCGTTTCTACTAAATTTACAGTGGTTAGGTTCAATTATCATTAAAACTTATTATCTTTCAGGGAGAGTAATAAACCGAATATTTAAACGAAATAAGATGATTAATACTTTTAACTGCACAACGTAGACAGACCACTTCAGGATAAAAAATGTAACATTATAATGGCTAATTTGATTAACCTTCATGCTCATTTTTGGTTTTTACTTAAATATTGTGCCTTTGATTAGAGAAAAGAAACAAAGTTTTTGGTTAAAGCCCTGTAGTCTAGACTTCTGCTCAGTTACCTATATATCTCAAAGGATTGAGTCTTTGTTGGTACATTTAGTAGATAATTTTTGTTTTATTTATTATTTATGTAAACCTTTTGATTCAGAGTACAGAACATGTTTATCTAGTATGAGACTAGCATCTCATGATCTTTAAATAGAGAAAGGTAGACATAATACTATTTTGAGACCTGACAGAATGCGTACATGCTACAGTTTAGCCGAAATTGAAGATGTATTCCATTTTTTACTTAAATGTCCATTTTATTCAGATTAACGTCAAACTATATTAAGAAATATTATTATCGAAAACCTAGTATATTCAAGCTAGTTCAGCTTTTGAGTGTAAACAATGTTAAAAAATTAAATAGAATGGGAAAATTTGTACATTTGGCATGCAATAAATAAATAAAAAATGAAGGGTTAATTATGATATTGTTTAATTTAAGCATGTAAACACTTCGTTATGACTCACTCAGCGTTTATTTGTATACATTGTATATATTAATGTTTGTATTTGCAACTTATGGGCCGCAAGGCCTAAGGAATAAAGAACATTGAACATTGAATACTTTAACGTATTTAAACCTCTGCTTTGTTGGACGTGACATGTTGACGTATATGCTGTACATTAAATAGGAACACAGAACCCGGAAGAACTTGTATTTTATTTATATCTTTATTTTGTCTGATATTATGTAAATCAAAGTTTGGCGGACACCGTAATATATGTCTGATTGAATAATTTCCATTATTATCCAAACGCACGTGATACCTAGACCGTGACATCGAGGACAGGTATGGCAATGCATACACGTATACAGATAAACCATTGGTGTATGATATTTTCATTTAGATCATATCGCCATTTTATAAAGTGCTGTGCTGGAAAACCTTAAGTTAACCTTTATTACGTTTTATGGTGTTATTAATGACGTTTAATCCTTTAATATCGAGAAAAAAAACCATGCATATCTTTATCCTCCAGAAAATGAAATAAAAGACATATTTGACACTTTCATAATATAACATTCCTCTCGTGGGCTGAAAATGAGCGCTTTCACTTTCAATCTTTATAATAATGATTAACTGTAATTTCATGATCGTTAATGTTCCGTTACAGTAAGGCACGTCGCATTTTCCGCATACTAAATATGAATACATCTTGCATTTTAAACATGGAAATGCTGTTATTGGTAAGTATCAACCTTATAAAATCAAAATCAGATATAAAGGCGAGAATTGACAACGACAACGCCGCAACGTCGAAACGAGATTATCAATGAAGATCATCAATTTATGGTCCCTCTCAGAATTCGGTAAAACCTTTTCGAGGAATGTAATACTGTTTCGATGTCAAATTAAGAATCCAATGGATACATGTAGTAAACTTGATTAAACTTTAATAAAAAAAATGAAATGGTTACAAAACCTTATACTAAACATTTATTTGGTGTAGCGGTATAGCCTTCTACTGAGGAAACAAACGAAATACACTAGTTGTAAAGTTGGTCAAATTAAGAATCAACAAAACAAAAATTCTGATGCATTTAGCCTTATGTCAGATTAAACATTATCTTTCAGATGTTTACATTTATATCAGTGGGAAGTCATCTGACCATAACGTTGTTAATACTTGTATTTTAATATATTTAAGTAAGGATATGTAAATTATAATCATCCTCCTCAAAAAGTAATTTCTAATAACATACATGTACTGTACAAAATTGGTTTTAAACAGAACAATTTTCAAAGCAATGATTTATGGAACGACAAATTATATACACAAAACATGTTTGTGACACTTCTCATGACACTTGTTTGATACATGTATGTACTCCTCTAGAAAGAGAGTGCATCTTTGCTGCCATGATATATTTGTAGTACTACATGTGGCGGGTGTTGGCAGGCGCACTGTTATTGAACCCGCCCTTCTCCACCACTTGAGCCTGGTCGCAGATTTCCATGTAGCCATTTTGTGGAAAGAACTGAACAGGATTACTATTTGCCAACCGTCTCTCGGCGTCCACTTTGCTGCACTTGTTATATTTACATATGGCAGTTCTGCAAAGAATGATGGTAACCATAAGTATGGGCCAAACAGTCATTTATTGTTGTCAAGACACGTTTCTAGGAATGCTCCTATATAATAAGCCTGCAGATGACATTTTAACGGCTGTTTCTTTCTAGTACTGATACATTTATTTATACCGAAATTCTTTTTGTCGTTAATAATAATTATGATAAAATAACTGTTTTGTTCTTGCCAATCAATGATGGTAAGCATATCTCTGTCAATATATATAGCACGTTTCCAAGGAGAAAAAGAAAACCTACTGAGCCATAATTTGGAAAATTATGATTAAAGCATATCTTACCCTATGAGTATCACTGTGATGACCACTAACAGGACAACTACAGTTATGATGATCTCAGTGCTAACGGTGTTCACTATCGTCACATGCTTGTCGCCTGAAGAGAAATGTAAATACAAGTTAGAAAAATAGTTCTGCCCATAAAGTGTGAAACCAATGGTAATTAAGCGAGCATTGAGGGCCGTTCAAACAGTTAACACTGAAGGTTGTTCAATCTGTTAGCACGGACAGCGCAAAACAATGACGTTGTTAAAATGCTTGCACGGACAGCACAAAACACTAAAATTGCTCGATCTGTTTACACGGACAACACAAAACACTAAAATTGTTCAATCTGTTTACACGGACAACACAAAACACGAAAATTGTTCAATCTGTTTACATGGACAACACAAAACACGAAAATTGTTGAATCTGTTTACACGGGCAACACAAAACACTAAAATTGTTGAATCTGTTTACACGGACAACACAAAACACTAAAATTGTTGAATCTGTTTACATGGACAACACAAAACACTAAAATTGTTGAATCTGTTTACATGGACAGCACAAAACACTAAAATTGTTGAATCTGTTTACAAGGACAACACAAAACACTAAAATTGTTCAATCTGTTTAAATGGACAACACAAAACACTTAAATTGTTCAATCTGTTTACACGGACAACACAAAACACTAAAATTGTTCGATCTGTTTACACGGACAACACAAAACACTAAAATTGTTCAATCTGTTTACACGGACAACACAAAACACTAAAATTGTTCAATCTGTTTAAATGGACAGCAAAGAACACTCAAGACAGTTCATTATTCTAACAATGCAAGTATATAACACAGAAAGCACATACCACTAAAGGCACAACACTTAGATGGAAGTGTATTCTTCTAACTGAAGGCGTATAACAATGAAACTACATTTTTGTTTTTATGGTCCATAGCTAGTGTTTTAGTTCTCTCTTTCTTATGCAACACTATATTGACGACACTGCTGAAATTGTGAAGGTAGCCTAGCGACAGCCTGTGGCGTACAGTAATAACCAACATTAAATTGCAGCTCATTTTGTCTTCAATTGTACAGGGGACATATGAAATGAGTAGTAACTCCACAAGTAAATTTAAAAACAAATATTGCAAAGTTTCTTATGTTAATCAAAGAAAATCCAATATAACTAAACTCCTGCTGAACAGAAGTGGGGGAAGGGAATTAAAGGAATATATTTTGGTACAAAAACGCAAGACACAATTTAGTTACAATAACAAACTCTTACTAACCGTTTATTGTTTTGGCCGCAGCTGTTTGTGTGGTGGTTGCTGTCGTGGTAGAAACACTGGTAGTAGTATCCTCAGCTGTAGTTGTTGTTCCAGCCGTGGTACTCGTAGTGGTAGGGCAGCCGACCGAAGGAACAGAACTGGGACCTAAACAATTATAGAGTCTCGTCAAGATATATGTTTATGTGTCATTATATTCAGTTTTATAATGATGACAAATCATACATTATAGTTTAAATCCTTAACTGAGTTATTTTCAAATTTCTGGTTAAATGTGTTGACATGATCCTAGCGTATAGTATATTCTAGCATAACACTTTAAGTCATTAAAGGATTAAATTACCATGCTACAAAAAAAAAAAAAAAAAAAAAAAAAAAAAAAATGATTGAAGTAACTCACTGACGCAGTAGGATTGTGGACAATTAGTTGCACTCTTGAGATGATAAACCCGAAAAGAGCAACAATTTTTCACTTGGACGGTGAAAGAACTGTGGCAGATTGAGAAGGGTGACCTCATGCATATTTGTCTATCCACAACTTCATCTGAAACATCTGGTACAGAGCCTGTAAAGGAACGAAGGGTACATGTGCATTACGTAACATACATGTAGTTGTATAGATAACACATTCCATGTTCGATTTTTATAATGAAAAAACCCGGCAATTTATTAATGTTAAACAAATAACGAGATCATTAAAATCTAACGATATCTTGCATATCGTATGTAAAACGTTTAGAAAGAAAAAACATAAAGCTATTTGTTCATGCAATAAATTTCCGAAAAAATACGCACACTTCCTGTATAACCTGTGGATGATTAACGCAAATTTATAATATACATAAAGCATTTTACTTCGATGGCCGATGTCGGCCGGACACTTTCTAATACTTTTCTGTTCAAACATTGTCTATGGGACACATTCATATGTTACACTTTTGATACTTAAACAAGTGTACTGTACTACACTTTTGCATTGTAAATTTTGATTTTCAAATGTGTATTATTGGGGACTTTTATAAGATAAACTTTGTATGCCACATTTTTGGGTATAGAATTAATCAACGTTTGTACCTCGCAAAAGTTGATCAGGACGATGCTTCATGGTTGATCAACAAGGTACAATTGTGGAAAAGATAATGTGTAGATGGTTTGTAAATATATATATATATGAATCAAAAATCATAATTTGAAGGTTTTAAGCAGCGATCTCTACCTGATTTGTGCTCCGTAGATCTCTATTTGGCTGTCTATTCAACTTCACAAAAAGTTTTGGATCTGGTAGTACTACTGTGGTTCTATCAATCTGGTTCTATATGTCTGGTGATATGCATTAGTGTTTTAAGTTTTTTCTTCTATTGTAAATTCAATAATTTGAAGTTTTATCTGTGAAGATTACTCACCATTCATCCAGAGCTGATATGATGTTCCACATCCACCAGAAACTAAAACACTACTGTCATTAGTCAGGTCAGTCCCCGCGTCCCCTACCAATCTGTACCATTTCTCAGTGAGGGTTACGTCACAATTCTTGTTGTCGTACACAGATTCTACGTAGCTAGGCGATCGTGTTGAGTCGGCTGTGAAATCTTCGTATGTCAAACAGGGATCTAGGATAAATATAAATATTTTTGTTATGGAATAATTCTAGGTTATTTTTTATAAGAAAATATACATATGTTCTTTCATATCGTTTTGCACGCATGCAACACCTTTTGATATCATCATCCAGGGTTTAACTAAAAATAATAATTCCAATGCATATTTTTTCAAATAGGATTTCATTATGACCATAACTCTTTTTTAGACTAGATACGGAAGCATCAAATCATTAGACGAATATTATAAATAATTTATATAAGATATTAAATGGTATTCTGTTGGATACTATATACACTTAACGAGTATGGTAGAATTTCGATTTTTTGACAAGTCCGAAGCAAGGTTTAAATATAAGTATATTTTGCCATAGGTATGCAGTATGAATAGAACGAGATTTTTTTTTTTTAATTTTTTTTTATTAATTGTATTTTGAAGGACAACGACAAAAAGTGAAAGTGTTTAAAAAGTGCGGAAATAAGTAGCGGAATATTAAACACCAAGTTCTTGAAATTGCGCCGTGAAACGCGGATGGTACCATTTTGAAGTGTTTTCAAATTAATTCTACCTATTTCTGCTATTAACTGTTCAGATTATCGATACTGTTATCAAATGTCTTATTAAATAAGCTATAGTAATGAATAGAACAAATGTGTACCAGAACAACCAAGTACATGTGATATCCAAGTAAAACTGCAAACATTAAGGTTAGGAAAGCAATTGATAGAGATTACCGTTCTGATTGGTCACAGTTACAAGATATATTAAATCATGCAAATAAAATCTATGGTTACTGTTTACAGATCTCCATTGAAATGAAGATATAGCTAGTAAAACCAATGGTAGTTTATATGTTGCACTGAAAAGTATAAGCATCACCAATGATAAATAAGTATAGGTGTATACTGACTACTACATGTATAATGACTTGAGGTGATTTACCTGTACTTGGAATTATCTAGACGGCGTATCTTTGTCATCATACTTTGAAGAAAAGTAGATCTTACCTGTTGCCACACTACCAGCGATGACAAGGCAAAGGGTAAGTACAGGAATCAATACTGCCATGCCTTCCTCGTTTGTTTAAATATCCACGTACACGTCTACACGACTACATGTCTATGTGAGATTTAAAACCTATCTGTTACTCATTTGGTTTACGTCTGATTTGGAATCCTACCAATTTGCTGTCAATACACCCATTGGTTTTGACATTCCGGGGTGTAACATGAATGCACAATTGATACTGCCTTCTAAACATGGCCTTTATAATAGCAGTGTCTGTAAACAGTCGATAATGGCACGCACTTGTAATTTTCATGAACATTCTTCACATGCAAATGTAAGACATTATGGTGAATCAATGGGGTGCGCTCCATTTGTTCTTTAGCTCCCATCGTTGTGATTTGTTATTGCATTTGACATTGTTCTGGCGTAAAAACCGTTTGGTATAGATTATTTTCTATCTCACCTGCTCGGTCGAAAATATGAACACTAGATATTACCACTTGTTCCTGGTCACGTGATTGGGTAAAGGGGTAGACATTGTTAACGTAGATCCAAAAAGATAAATGACCTACACACATATGCTCCCTATATTGGTGCTACTAAATGATAAACTTTACCACGGCTACGCTACTTTTATTATTTAAAATATATTTTGTCTTTCGTTTGATAACTTTACTACATACAGTTTATGTAATGCATGCCAGTCGTTACAAAGACCGGGCACACTGTATACATATGTTCTATTGTTAACATTTTGTTTCATCAATTGTTATATGTGATCAGTACCCTGAATGTATGCGTCCGTACCCTGTCCGTTTTAATTAATTAAATCAATTGAAGGTGTACTATAACAGGAAAATGACAAATGAGTAATGAAAATGAGTAATAATTGATGCACGGATTTGTTCCTTTAGATCTTTCTTTCATAATAAGTTTCATTATACGAAAAGTTGAACATACTTATTTAAATTGAGAAGTGAAAAAACCAGAATCAAGTTATTCTAGATTAATACAAAGTAGCATGTGCGTGTCGGTTATCGATACATTAAATGTACACTTTGTTTTAACTGTACTTATGCTTAATACGCTGCTGCTTTATGAAATTACGTGAAAATTCAAGGAAGGAAGTTTCATATAGAAATGTAAATATAGATTCATAAGGCGAATACACAGGTGGCATCAACTGTGTACGGTGCTATAGGTATAGGGTTACTCCGCCATGCAGTGCAATATCACTTTTCTGAATACATATCTCATCACATAACATACCCTTATATCTAGTATATGTTGTTGTTCAACCTCTCTCGTATTTCATACAATATTTTATCTTTTAAAGGCTGTTTAAGCTCTCACGTTTTCTTTATCTTATCCAAATCTTAACAATACCCTACATAACGTTAATATCTTATTCCTTTTGTCTTACAACTCTTATATCCCAGACCAAACCCTATATAATGCTAATATTTTATTACATTCCTTCCTCTAAACACTCTCGTATCCACGACCATACCCTACAGGATGTTAATATCCCAAAACATTACTTTGTCTGACAACTCACGTATCCCAGACCATACCCTACAGGATGTTAATATCCCCATACATTACTTTGTCTGACAACTCCCGTATCGCAGACCATACCCTACGTAAAGTCAATAACTTATTTTTTTCCTTTGTCTAATCACGCTCGTACCCTTTTCCATACCCGATATAATGTTAATATCCTAATATCTCCCTTTCTCTAAACACTCTCGTATACCAGACCATACCTTAAACAACGTCAATATCTTAAAACACGCCTTTTATCTGACAACTCTCGTATCCCAGAACAGACCCTATATAATGTTAATATATTAGCAACCCTTTTTGTTTAATCACACTCGCATCCTATACCATCAGCTGCCTGACTACAAATACCGGAACATTTTCTTTATTTAACCACTCGTATGGTACAACCCTGTCTTATGTAAATGCCTGTTATGTCTTGTTCGCGTTATAACTTTATGATATGAAAATGGAGAGGAGATTCGTATGCTTTTATAAGCAAATTGAAAAACATACAGCGTTACACGTTGCACGATGCTACGGTCTACCGAGGTTTATAGTATACATTATTCTCTCATAAGATAACGCTGGTCATACAGGATAACCATGCTTGCTGAGTCTATCTTACATGGGTTAATCACATTGCAAAGCAATAACAAAAACTAAGGGGAACAACTTCGGTGGACATGCAATATTCGCCCGGCTTTGTATTTATCAATGGTATCTATAATTTCATTTATATTTTTTAATTAATTACAAGATCAGTCATGAATTAAGAATTTGAAAACAAAAACGCAATTCGTTTTCTATTTTCAACTAGGAACTATATTTCTCTGCGCACTAAATGAGATGTATGCAGTGAAATTGCTGTTTGGAGTATGGGAAATTCATTTCTACTGCTATTTTTGTTTTTAAACCGCCCGGGGATCATAATTGGGGTACAATGTAAAACCCTCGGCAAAGCCTCAGGTTTTACTCCAATTTATGATCCCCTCGGAAGGAACTCTCTATCCACCTCCGGTACATATGAAAGAGTCTTATACTCACAGCAGAATGGCGTAAATCTGTGTAATATTTTAATCAACTTGGTCTATGGATTAACAAGATTATGACCATAATTGAAATTGCATTTTCCCGTAAGTACATATTGACAAGATCATATCGATTTAAAAAAAAAATGAATCAGAAATTATCGAAAAAGTGGCAATATCTCGCCTATTTAATGAGAATATATCACATCTGACTTGTTGACAACTTGTCTGTATTTCAATTAAAAATCTGACTTAAGGGCACATGTCCCACTGCACTGTTGTTGTTACAATGTGTCTCCCTTAACTCCCGTCTGGCTATATCTGTAATAAAACGTTTGGTCAGGACACATCCGTCTGGCTATATCTGTAATAAAATGTTTGGTCAGGACACATCCGTCTGGCTATATCTGTAATAAAACGTTTGGCCAGGACACATCCGTCTGGCTATATCTGTAATAAAAGTTTGGCCAGGACACATCCGTTGACCCGGTAGTTTAACTGGTTAGAGTGATAATATACAATCAAATGCCAAAGGATCGAATTCCAGACTGGCCCCACTAAAATTGTATAATCAAAACAGTGTTGTTTAACTCTTTTTTTTCGAAAAACAGTTTCGAACAGATAAATTACAGTTTTGGCAGTAAAAATCTCACCTCACCAAACATATTCGGCTAACCCGTTTAACTAGTGTTTTTCATATTTTTTTTTCATATTTTTTTTATTCCCTATTGGATTATATAACACTTTTTGTACCAATTTAACCAGGTATGTTTAACTTGTTTATGTCTATTTAAAACAACACGTCAGGAATGCTATGCATATTTGACTCAAATACTAATTATAGCTATTGATAAGGCCTAGCAATGATATATCGTACAAACAAGGGTAAAATATATATAAATTCCTAGAGGTGCAGGGTGGCGAAGAGTTTGGATAACGTCACTGTACCCAAATCGGGACACTTTTTAGATAAATATTAATGTTCTTTTCACCATAATTTCAGTTCAGAAAATGTTTGTTCATTTTTCATAAATAGATCCTATCCAATGTTCATTTCTATCACAATTTGTAATTTCGGGCGCGTGGGTCTATAAAAAGAACGCGAAATACCATCAGAGTTACGTAGGCCCTTGAACCGGTGTTACTGTACCGTGAAAGGGACACTTCCTGTATTTTATCGAATAATTGGGGATAAATGATCAATATCGGCAGAAAATATGCATATTTGAAACATGCTAGAGTCAACACAGGTTCTGATTTCTCAAAACTCGCATTAGTTTTGATAAAATAGACTTTTGAAAATGATATCCAATTAATTAGCGTCGCACGGCACGTAAATAAGGAAAGTCTTGTTTTGGTTATTATTCTTACCTTTAAATTGTCCAAGTAACGGTATTCAGCGGCCTATTAAGCTTATTACAGTTTAATTGTCAGAAAAGTATTATCAAACGAAAACTGTATACATAAAAGTACTTCTTTGCATTGAATGGCCGTTTTCCTACAAGTGTCCCGTTTTGGGTACATTGACGGTAGGTTTTATGGTCGCTATGATCTCAGGGAAATGTTCTATTTCATATGAGATTTGAATATCGCGATTTTTTATTATGCTCATTATTGGTTTCGTTTTAACTACTCCGGATCTCAATTTAAAAACTTACATGGATTCGACCCATATTGACAAGCCGAGTGTTGTCAATTAAGCACAAGACGAATACACTTCCCGAACACATTGTCTCTTTTATTTTTTCAAAAGTTTCTGTGTATGTCTTAATTTGTTAAGGTATAATTTCAGTAGTGAAATAAAAATAATCACTCCCAAAAACTATTTACAGAATACATATGCATAATAGAATTGCTGATATAAATCGTATCAACATTCAAATAAATTAATGAAAAAACAACTTAACATACGATACAGCTCAGTAAGCTTTAATCAACTGGAGGTCAAGAAAACAAATGTGCCTGTAAAAACCTTAATCACGTGACAAATTGTCAAGAACATATTTCAGCTGCAACAGGGTTACAGCCAAAGAAGGGGACTGGACATCAGGCTAGGTCTATTTCTCCTTTGTACGAAAGCCAGTTACACAATTCATTAGATCCCGTAAATCGCACATTACCATCCTTTTGTTATAATTTGTATGCTTTTGTAGCAATGTTTTATGGCTGATGGTGTAAAACATCTTACCAAACATGAATGAGAAATCATTTTTATAACAGACAGAGTCAGTGATCGTATATCCTATATTAGACAATTTACCAACTATGATGAAATCAGGCACTGAAACGTTTATAATTATTATCCTTAAGTGTGCAATTCAACCAAGATGGTCTTTTTACATTTTCATATAGTTCATTCATTCATTATGGGTTATCGCGAATCAAGTGCACTTTTTCTATTTTACAAGAAACAGAATAGAAATTATCTGAGTTGGAGATTTTTGATGTGTTTCCTGCGTACGCAGATTAAATTCGGCTATTCCGTACACTGTTGTATTTCAGTGTAGGGGTTGGCGTCTGCTTCCTTTAACGCCACATTTGACGTTTTATTCGAATCAGCAGCAGTTTGTGATAAAATGTCGTACGGATTGGAGCTTGTTTGCAACTTCAAATCCTCGTAGGGAGATTGGTGTGATTGCACTTTACTTGGATTCAGCACATAATACGGACCTTCTATACAGTTCTCCTGTCTTTGTTTTTCAGAGATTTGATACGTGTTGTGAACTACAGTCGTTGGATTAGTCCATGAGTGGTGATTTACTAAAGAACCGTTTATATCTTGATACTCGCCGTCTGATTGGATTTTTGACTGAAGTTGTTCGTAGTGAGAGTTTTCGGTGAAAGCACTGTTCATGTCCCTGGAATGATGCGTTGTTGCGTCGTTCCCCACATGACAGGATTCGGGTAGACCCTTTTCTCTCCTACACCTCATGTACAGGGCGAATGCAATCCTGAAAGTAAGGTCATTTGTAAATTGATTTACTTTTTTTTTCAGGTTTATTCCTTTTTGATAAAACTGATAATTGCCATCGTCAACCTAATCTTATTGATACATATCACTTGAGTTATTAGGAATAAAGGAAAACATATACATATTGCAAAGGAATCATATGGTACGCCTTAGTCTTAAAAAACACCAAAAAAACGCACCCTGACACTCATACATTAATCAAGAAGTTGAAAGACAATAAAAATCACTTTATATAACCATAGAAATTATATGATTACAACTTACCCGAAAAACAACACTGGAAGCACAACGCATACTACTGCTAGCACAAAGATTACTGGGTCTGAGCTTCTTTCTGATGCTGGTGCTGTCACTTCATCTGAAACAATTGGTATAATGTTATTGTTATTCATTCTATAAAGGTTATCGTTGATATTTCTTTAGTGTGAATGAAAGTTATTGTAAGGAGTTATATACATGTACATACAACTTTAACAGGAGTTATTAAAGCTAGTAATTGAGATGTCATCAAAATCAAAAGAAAATATGTACTTGAACTTAAGACAACTCCAAAACACACTTGCTAAACTAAAACCTTTTGCGAAAAATAAAGGATATTTAAATGGGTTCTTGATTTCAAATTGTTATTACAATAGAATATATCAAGAAATACCAACTACAGGTGACCTAAGTGTTAGTGTTAAGTACTGAACGTAAATGATGACATTGATGTATATTATTGTGGCAATTGAGTTAAAAATGTTTGTGTCACTTTAATACTCCAAAATGAAAAAAAAACACCATTTATGGAAGACGTTCTAAATAAATATCCAATGTTAAAACTTAATAAATTGTTCTACTTTGATTTATTCAAAAAACAAACAATTGTGATTTGTGAATTTACTTTGAAAGATTTAAACAAATTGTCCTCAAAGTGTCGGTTTTAATTATGAAGAATACCTATTTATTGCTATCACTTTATAAACCGGTATGTCCGCATTTTACGGAAATCATCAATACACATATACTATATCAGATTCTACACAAAAATGGCAAGCTCTTACTCACTAGTACCTGTTTTTGCCGAAGTTGTTTGCGTGGTAGTTTTCGTCTCCTTCGTAGATATACCGGTAGTAGTATCCCCAGATGTAGTTGTCTCAGTCGTAGTTGAGGCACGTGTAGTAGAGTTCGTAGATGGACCGGGGCAGTCGACAGGAGGAACAAGACTGGGACCTGAAGGTTTTTAGTGGAATCCTTAGGATATATGTTAATTGGTCAATATCACTCGAGCCATCACCATGGCAGTACGACAGTATCATGAATTATCAAAATAATAGGAGTATGCAATTTTCATATTTATTCTCCTGTTCCTTATTAGACCAAAATGAATAGCATATATATAGAAAAGATTGTGTCGGTCACGAGGCTCACGTTTTACTACAAAGCATAGGTCCTTTGTATCATTCACAACGTATATATTATTGTCTCTTGTATTGCAAAGTTAATAAAATGTTATGATAATTCAGACAGATTATACAAGAGGCGGGTTGTTAACCTTGACAATTTAACCAGAATGGCTAACCCTTCATCTACAAAGTAATTTGGTTATATCAAAGACATTTTCCACTGCCTCACTTAAATGAAAAACATTAAAAACTTATTATGAAAAACTTAAATAAAAAACATTAAAACTTAAACATCTGTTGTAATGATCAATGTCTTCTAATGAATTAAACAGCCATTGAAATTTGTTTTGTTTATTTCAACCGACGATTTTTCATTCATGTTTTGTTTATTTCCAATACATCTATAAGTGTATCTGAAAATGGTACTTACTAACACAGTAAGAGGACGGACACATGTTCGCACTGTGGAGGTAGTACACTCTGTATGAACAGCAGTTCTTAACCTGGATTGTGAATGACTTGTGGCACGACGAGAAAATTGACTTTAAGCAAACTTTTCTGTCAACGATCCCTTCAGCAACTTCAGGAATCTCACCTGGAGAATATTTAAAACAAAATCCTTTGTGGATATATTTGAAAATATACATATTTAATCCGTTAACTTAAATTAGAGTAAATTCATTCCATTGACATCTGTTGTAATGATCAATGTCTTCTAATGAATTAAACAAGTTCGTCGCATAAATAACATAAAACCAGTTCTTTGACTTTATTTTAAATTGGTAGATTAATGAAATCAAATTAAATATATAATGCATTGAAATTATACAGGAAAGAGTCACAGTACCCGGACCTATTTATTACGTGTCTTAACATAAATGGCATTTAAAATAAGACATTATCATGAAAGATTATATGAATGCCATGTAAATGTTGTAGAGCACTATTGAGACCTCACGTTGTTAGGTAAATATATGACTTTGATCATGGTCTTCAAAGGTATGTTTATATTTATAAACAAACGTGTATATCAGAAAGCACTGACCATCCATCCAGAGAGGATAGACGGTACCACAGCTGTTTGTCATCAGACTTTCTCTGTCGTTAGTCATGTCACCACCAGCCTCCCCCACAAACCGGTACCACTTCTCACGGACCAACACATCACACAGGCTATCTTCGTATACAGTTGCTACGTGACCTGGCGATCGTTTATAATCCACCTGGAACTCTTCGTAGGTCAGGCAAGGATCTTAAAAAGCACAATTAATATAATAAAAAATAGAGTGATTATGTATTTAACACAACTTGGTAATGTTACATTATTAGAAGCATTTTTTATCGTATAGAAATAAATTTCAAGAGCTTATGGTTTCCTGGAAACTATAATCATAATGGATCCTTGACCTATGGTATAAACGTTTGGTACATCACACAAACTTTAACTTTTTTATGAGCGTCACATATTCTTTCATCATACACATTTTCCCTACATAATTTCTGCTAGGCCTGGCATTATCGCTTACAAACCGTGTGTAACACATCAGAAGTCAGACAATGATCTCAGGGTAAAATGTGATGTTCCTTTTTTCAAACTTTACTAAACAATCTGTCTGATCTGTGTTGATAATTAACCTGGAAAGAAACGTTTATAAAAAATGAAACATTCTAACGCAGTGTCTGGAAAAAGAACGAAAAAACTATTATATCATCATAGAGGACAAGAAAACAAGCAAATTAATCATTATCCCTCTGTCACATCAACATCTTACATTGCAACCTATATCGATAATACATATGTTTACCAAAATCTATAATGTACATGGTCACCCATATCTATAACATACACAGTCAACCACATCTGTAACATACATGGTCCCCCTCAACTATAACATATATGGTCACCCATATCTATAACATACACAGTCAACCACATCTGTAACATACATGGGACCCTCAACTATAACATATATGGTCACCCATATCTATAACATACCCAGTCAACCACATCTGTAACATACATAGTCCCCCTCAACTATAACATATATGGTCACCCATATCTATAACATACACAGTCAACCACATCTGTAACATACATGGGACCCTCAACTATAACATATATGGTCACCCATATCTATAACATACCCAGTCAACCACATCTGTAACATACATAGTCCCCCTCAACTATAACATATATGGTCACCCATATCTATAACATACACAGTCAACCACATCTGTAACATACATGGGACCCTCAACTATAACATATATGGTCACCCATATCTATAACATACCCAGTCAACCACATCTGTAACATACATGGTCCCCCTCAACTATAACATATATGGTCACCCATATCTATAACATACACAGTCAACCACATCTGTAACATACATGGGACCCTCAACTATAACATATATGGTCACCCATATCTATAACATACCCAGTCAACCACATCTGTAACATACATAGTCCCCCTCAACTATAACATATATGGTCACCCATATCTATAACATACACAGTCAACCACATCTGTAACATACATGGGACCCTCAACTATAACATATATGGTCACCCATATCTATAACATACCCAGTCAACCACATCTGTAACATACATAGTCCCCCTCAACTATAACATATATGGTCACCCATATCTATAACATACACAGTCAACCACATCTGTAACATACATGGGACCCTCAACTATAACATATATGGTCACCCATATCTATAACATACCCAGTCAACCACATCTGTAACATACATGGTCCCCCTCAACTATAACATATATGGTCACCCATATCTATAACATACCCAGTCAACCACATCTGTAACATACATGGTCCCCCTCAACTATAACATATATGGTCACCCATATCTATAACATACCCAGTCAACCACATCTGTAACATACATGGTCCCCCTCAACTATAACATATATGGTCACCCATATCTATAACATACCCAGTCAACCACATCTGTAACATACATGGTCCCCCTCAACTATAACATATATGGTCACCCATATCTATAACATACCCAGTCAACCACATCTGTAACATACATGGTCCCCCTCAACTATAACATATATGGTCACCCATATCTATAACATACCCAGTCAACCACATCTGTAACATACATGGTCCCCCTCAACTATAACATATATGGTCACCCATATCTATAACATACCCAGTCAACCACATCTGTAACATACATGGTCCCCCTCAACTATAACATATATGGTCACCCATATCTATAACATACCCAGTCAACCACATCTGTAACATACATGGTCCCCCTCAACTATAACATATATGGTCACCCATATCTATAACATACCCAGTCAACCACATCTGTAACATACATGGTCCCCCTCAACTATAACATATATGGTCACCCATATCTATAACATACCCAGTCAACCACATCTGTAACATACATGGTCCCCCTCAACTATAACATATATGGTCACCCATATCTATAACATACCCAGTCAACCACATCTGTAACATACATGGTCCCCCTCAACTATAACATATATGGTCACCCATATCTATAACATACCCAGTCAACCACATCTGTAACATACATGGTCCCCCTCAACTATAACATATATGGTCACCCATATCTATAACATACCCAGTCAACCACATCTGTAACATACATGGTCCCCCTCAACTATAACATATATGGTCACCCATATCTATAACATACCCAGTCAACCACATCTGTAACATACATGGTCCCCCTCAACTATAACATATATGGTCACCCATATCTATAACATACCCAGTCAACCACATCTGTAACATACATGGTCCCCCTCAACTATAACATATATGGTCACCCATATCTATAACATACCCAGTCAACCACATCTGTAACATACATGGTCCCCCTCAACTATAACATATATGGTCACCCATATCTATAACATACCCAGTCAACCACATCTGTAACATACATGGTCCCCCTCAACTATAACATATATGGTCACCCATATCTATAACATACCCAGTCAACCACATCTGTAACATACATGGTCCCCCTCAACTATAACATATATGGTCACCCATATCTATAACATACCCAGTCAACCACATCTGTAACATACATGGTCCCCCTCAACTATAACATATATGGTCACCCATATCTATAACATACCCAGTCAACCACATCTGTAACATACATGGTCCCCCTCAACTATAACATATATGGTCACCCATATCTATAACATACCCAGTCAACCACATCTGTAACATACATGGAACCCTCAACTATAACATATCTGGTCACCCATATCTATAACATACACAGTCAACCACATCTGTAACATACATGGTCACCCTCAACTATAACATATATGGTCACGCATATCTATAACGTACACGGTCACTCACATTTATAACGTACATGGTGACCAACTTTGTCATTTTGTCTATCAAAAGTGAGTATTTAATTGTTACATATTTAAACATTTTGAATGAAATGACATTATAGTTATATGCAGCTTTTAACATTGACACAATTATAAAACAAAGTATTTGATAAATTTCAAAACGAACACAATCGATTTTGTATAAATTGACATATCTTCAAGACAGGTTTGAAATAAATAGAACTTTCAGGGTAAAGTGCCATGTTAGTGTTAATGTGATAAACAAGATGACAACCTTTCAACAAATATGTAGAGTCCCTGCTGTATCGTTATAATGGAGTTGTTGTATTACAGTAAATACAATGATAAATAAATAGTACTATGATATTAACATGTATTCTGCTATATCGGAATATCCAAAATGGAAGTTACAATCAAATAATAACAAATTATTTTCTCACCTGTGGTAACACAGTTAACGTAACATAGAAATAGCATCACAGGAATCAGCGCCATCTTGTCAAAAGTTAGCCCGTCTCAATACTATTGTTAACTAGTTAGATCGCTTGTCCCAACATCATGTCATCTTACGGTGGACATGTAATGTCCAGCACAAAATGTTTTACTTCCTTCTTATGTATACCTTCTGGGACTTCTTGTCACTTTGTGTTGCTAGAAACAATCGCTAACTTTTGTTTGGAACTAAATAAAATCATCTGAAAATATTCTACTGTTTTAAATTGCCATTGTGTCATTCTATCTGATTGTGGTGCCCCGGTTAGTTTGTAAAGCTTTAATTGACCTTAACTTAATACTGGTTCATTATGTATAATGTAAGCACATAGATATAGTACAGGTGCTATTGTGCATGGGAACACTTGTGTGAATAATAACGGTGTATTGGCAGTAGTAAGACTAACTCACGCAGGTCGAATACTTAGAAGAGAACAGGGAAGTAATATCTTCTTGGTATTGTATTTATAATGGTTTCTGTACATCAAAACAAATCTGACGTCACTTACATGTGGTTGATCTTTTGTATTAACTGTTGAGAACACCATCGTTTCTTGTTTTTGAAAATACATTAAGTGTATTTGTAATATGGAACTATTTCTAACTGACATTCATACCTCTGTCACTTTTTTACAGTAACACAGAAGGTAAAGATGTATTATGTACATGTATAATACATAACTCTTTTCCAGACTAGCTCATTTTAACAATTATTCCTATAAAACATATCCTGCCTTATTGTCTCTTAACAATCTGTCATACCTTCCGTTTGTAACCCATCTATTATTGCTGAGTAACCAGTTACAACATAAACACTGTCTTGTCAGTAATAGTATCCGTTATCCGTGATATTGGCTGTAATTTACCTTAAACACTATCCGTATGTTACCCGTCATATTGTCCGAGAATTACCCGTGATACTGTCTCTTAAGTACCCGTCATATTGTCTCTTAAGTACCCGTCATATTGTCCATAAACAATCTGTCATAGTGTTTCATTTAGAAAAACGATAGGCATAGCCTATATTAGTTCTCTCCTAGAGGTAACAATGAGTATATAAATATATATATATATATATATATATATATATATAATATAGTATGTTGTTATTTTGAAATTTCAAAGTTTATTATTTTAAGTATGAAACATAAAATGTTTAAATATGAGATATGAGTTTGGAAGTAAGGACAACATTTAAGAGTTGTTATAATATATGAAATAGTGTATTCACTATGTTTTCCAAAATTATAATTTTTTAGAGCCTCGAATCTAACATCCATGACAGGATTCCCTCCACTCATGGGATACAGACCAAACATGTCCATATTGGCTTATCAGCCACTGGTCATTCACCCATGAGTTTTGGGGCCAGTCATGGATACTGCATTCTGACTTTCATAGTAAAGATAATTAAGAAAGAAAGAATTTGGCAGACTTTGAAGTGTTGGTTGATTCAAATCAATATTTTGTAGCCATTTGTTAATAAGTAGGTAAATCAAGGATTTTCCAATCTTTTTATAATTTGTTTTTACTATATGAATGACAAAATTGAGTAAACAGAAAGATGCAAACTCAGGTTTTGAATTGGTCCACCATTATGAGATTGTCCTTACTTACTAATAATTCTATCACATAAAACAACACTATGCTATAATTAGGATGAATGATACTTAGCATACAAAACAAACAAAATATATGCCTATCAGATCAAAGGGGGAAAAGGCGGTCATAGGAAAAGGAAAGGGTGATGATGACACACAATGTTTAGTTTGTAGAAGCACAGTCGTAACTGATGGTTTTTATATTTAAGAGACATAATATCAAATCAGAAATATATAATGTATTATAAATGTGGAAATCTATGTGTAGCTGTGACATACTCGGCAGTACAATCAAATATATTTACATTGGTTTGTTCATCATAATCACCACAGCCAGATATAAGTACATCCAGAGTGTAGTGATTGTGATTAACATCAAATAAGTTATCCTTAAGGGTTTTACGTGGTTCATCATACTTGTTACTAATGAGAAAAAAAATAAATGATGTACTGTGTTATGGGCATCACCACAGGTACTCGTTGGTGATTCAAGAAGATGATCTCTGTGTAGATCAAAATTAAGGTTACTTGGGTTACTAAGGTTAAGTTGGCAGAGTATGATGTTGTATTTGCTATCACCTGCGTTGACAAAGGTAAAGTTTCTACTTGTGTCTTGTAACATGATGTCACTTACAGCTCTTCTTAAAAGTTGTTTAAACTGGTATAGTGATGTGATGTTAGTCAGGTCATTATAATATTTAAGTGAAGGCGAAATAAAGCTTTTGGCATAAGTATTTGTTCTGCACACAGGAATTGTAAAGATTCTTTCATTTCTCAATAGGTATGAGTTCATATTGTTGAAAAAGGGTTCAATTAATTCAGTTAAATAAGTGGTTGCAGTTCCTGTAAGATTTTTGTATAGAAGAATAAGTCTGTGTTTTTTCGTCTTGCAGCAAGGTCTCCCAACCAAGTTCACAGTAAAGTTTATAGTGTGAGGTTCCTTTACGCAGTCCTGTAATTATTCGAGCAGCCTCTATTTGGATAGATTCAAGTAAAGTTGATATTGTTCATAAGTAACCTGTCATATTGTCCATAAATTACCAGCAATATTATTAATTAAGCACCCGTCATAATGTTTGTTCGTAACTGGCTAAATTGTCTATAAGTAAAACATCATATTGTCAGAAAGTAGCTCCCCCAGTAGTCATTAAACTATTCGTAATATCGTCTAAAACTAACCTGTCATATTGTCTCTCAATAACCCGTCATGATGCGTGTAAATAGTCCCTCAAAATGTCGTTGAATTTAACCTTTCATATTATCCAGAATTTAGAATTTCGATATATTTTTACAAAAACAGGTTATCGAGAATATGTTAATACATTCCGTGTCTCCTTAGTATGTAAAAGAGGTCAGCGTATATCACGAAGATCTGAAAATGTTGAATATAAATAAAGTTAATTTGAAAGTTTATCATTCATTTCTTGACAAGAAAAAAAACATTTTGTTTATGCATTAACCACCATACGTCCATGAATATGAATCAATTATATTCTATCTTTCCAAATCATCTACAACATGAGTAGGTCAGAATGTTCCATGTTGCAATGAAACACAATAATTAGTATGATTGGTTTATGTAACAACAATACGAAAGATCCCCTTTTCGATGCTGATTGGATACTAGTATATGCTTAGGTTATGTCGTAGTTATCATAATGTCAAAGTTCATTTGTTGTTTAACCGTACACTAGGCGAGAGATTGATGTAATAATTTGATAAAAGACGTTCGTTATTAAATCGTCATATAAACACAGGAAAACAATGACGTAACACCTTTGTTACATGTACCATATAATGTACAAATGGAAATAGCATGTCTATGAATATAAATACATTTATTGGTCAAATGTTTGCATAATATATAAAAAAAAACATTACCTATTTCGTTCACATGGACAATCGTTTTAACTGTGTTAATTCTAAAACACAGATGATATATGATTCGATACTGTATGATCTGACCGATTTGTAACCTATAACATAGTGATCAGTCACTGACAATATTTTTTGGTTCAGAACATTGTTTTGAGCTAAACTTTTGTGTTTGCTTCATAAATTAAGGGGTATTATTTTCATTTAAATGTGTCTAAGATACATCAGGTATGATGCAAAACCTTGTATTTTATAATACGGAATATAGTGTCACACATCATTTTACATAAACTGGAGACAGATATTTGAGTATGGATGACCCAGGGTAATAAAATTCATCATTTTTGACAAAGCACTTTCCCTCCATAAAGAAGAGTATTTAATTGTGAGACCCGGGACTGAACTAGACGGGTTTTATAATGTTAACCAGTTTCACTTCTTTTAGCCTCACTGTCGGACCTCTGGAGGGAGGTTACCATGTAATGGCTTCCCTACGCACAATTGTATGTGATGTGTTGTTTTGAAAAGACTTAAAAAGGTCATTGTTAACATACACACTACGGACAACACCCTTGATATCTAGGGAGTACGCTCACTTACGTTCTCTGCAACCCTGGAATACTACAGGACAAAGTCAAAGGCTTGATGTAAGTCACGTTGTGGATGAGACGGTAAGACTAGCTTGATCATTGGATGTAAATCAAAATAATCTTTGGCCGCGTAAAGGTAAAATAGACAGGCTTTGAAGTAAGGTGTCTCTCTTATGTAATCCTTAAAATACAGATACAAGCCTAGCGATTGGTCAGGATATTTGTAACTTAGACCAATGACATAGCTACCCGCAAGCTTTTAGTTTTAGACACAGTCTAGGGTTGGAGAGAGAGTAAAGTTAGCTTACCCCTAGAGTGTCGAGGATACACGGACAACAGACGACGCACGACGACGGACAACAAACCATCGCACAAAGCCAAAAGTGACTTGTCCTAGGCGAAAGAAACACCTGAGTGAGGAATGAATTGTTTATCGACATACATTCAAAACACTGTACAACGTAAATATCAAAGTGATTTATAAAATGACGCCATATTTGAGTTTTCCTGGTTGCAGCAAGTATTCGTACAACAAGGATGTAATAAAACAATATACAAGTAGTAAAGGATATATACATATTGCGTTTTATACACATAATACAGATATAGTATATGTATGCTAAGAAATACATAATCACAGATAGTAAAACAGCATATACAAATGTAATTGCGCATTATATAAAGAGTACACGTAGTTTATACAATATGTCCATACACAAACCTTTACTGCACTTGGTACATCCTGGACCTCCATTTGGGTTTGAAGGCAGGGACATATCCGGGAAAAAAGAAGAACGGAAAATGTAAATATTTTTGATAAATCCGAGTTGGATGGTAAGAGTGTGCACGAAAATGCTCGCTTCAAAATAAACCTTTTTATTTATGTTTTTAGCCATTGGCAAATATAGAAACAATACTACTCGCAAAAAAGAGGCCTAGGCCGTACAGAGTAGGGATGATAAATTCTTTTTACTTTGTATACTAAATATAAAATAGAATTCCAATAATACAATAAATAAACAATTAATTAGATACAGCTTTTTTTCTCCTATGATGCAGTATAAACAAGTCTTTCCTATGCATACTCTATATTTCACCTTCAATACATTACATGATGTATTTAACTACTTCATCTATAGAACATTGAACGAAGTCTTTAGTAGATACATATTATATTTCTTTAATAATACACTACACTATAGACGTTAATCTTTATTTCAAATAACTTGGTTTGTCATTTGGTCTAGACAG